ATTTTGGAACTAAATGGAAAAGTACTCGCGGGGAACGCGCCTAATCTTTCAGCTTGTGTCGTCTACAGACAGCGAGCAGGATCGAAAATAACCGGTTCCCAAAATCCTGAAATACCAATAACAAAGATATATAAAACAATATTATACCTATATATATACTATACATAACATAGATATATAATATGTACATATACTAGCAGTATACTGGAAATTATACATAAAGGGCAGCTTCCACACATCTCCTTTTCTCCTGCAACAGCTTATATGAGCTTTAATCTTAAATAAAAAGTTCCATTAAATGTTACTTCACTAATTCCCTTAAGAAAAGTGGCTGTGTCCACTTTAATCAGCTGTAAGTGCACGACAGTGTTTAATCTAGCTAAAGTCTACAACCAAAAACCAACTTGTCGAACAGAAGTGACGTGTGAACTTTGACCGCTCGATTAGGAGAGGGGATAACTCTAAACTTGGGACAAAACAGATCGAAGGATGAACCTCATCTGACCACGTTCAGTCCCACATGGATCAGGTCACAGAACGTGACTCACTCAAGAAATCGCTTCTCCGGACCGGCCCTTGACGAAAGCCAATAATTATCTGGCTTTAATTCAAGTCTCAGATAAGGATGAGCTACATTCGTAGCAGCGTCTCTATCTCGCATTAAAACGACATCACAATCACAGAACATAACCTTTAACAGCTCATATAACCGGAAGCATCCTGTTTTTTAACATCGTGTTTACATTTACAAAGGCATGGACTGGTTTCTGTGCAACTATCCAGATGCATGCATTGTAGTTTAAGCTTTAACACCATTCTAGAAAGGCTTCATTGACTGACCAGAGAAGACAAAACGTCAATGGATAGGTCGGGTGGCAGTTATTTGGTTATTACATCCAAGCCGCATGAACCTACCTCTGTGAAGCAAAATAAAAGCTTTTGAAAACTCAATCATGCAAAATACAATTAAACCTAAAATTAGCATATAGGGCCCATTTAAATTTTAAAAGGGGACCGTATCAATGCAAAGTGCACTTTTTGAGTGATTTTATACATATAAATGGTGTAACCTCGGTGTGTCGGGGGACTCGCGCAGCGTCAGAAATAAAACCCTCGTCTCTTTCCTCCCGTACCCAAAATCTCTAAAAACTGGGCGAACAACGGAAGCTGATCCCAGATTTGCGCCGATATGAACAGTAACATCCATTGAAATGGGAGAAACCCACACGGACCCTAACAAGATAAAACGTTCTATCAGAAACCAATGCCCGACTGTTTTTGACGGGTCGGTGCCGTTCACATTAGCATCGCTAACACTCAGAGCTAACCTGTACTGGAGAGCATGTGTGTGAAGAAGCAGGAAGTAAAAAGGAACTCACCTTGTGGTATAACCGGCAAGAGAGAAAGCCTTTGAGCTCCATACTGTTTCAGAGATAATCCTTGATAATCCATGATATGGCGTTTCATCACGGCAGTATTTAGTTTAGACAGTAGCTGCCGGGTCCCGCATGAGCTCAGCTCCTTTTTTATTCTTTCTGATAGGGCCGTGGGTCCAAACTTCCGATATTACGTCATATCGGACGCAAATCTGGATCAGCTCCGTTGTACCCCCGCTTTTAGAGATTTGGGTACGGAGGAAAAGAGAGAGGGTTTTATTTTCTGACGCTGCATGAGTTCCCCGACACACCGGGGACACATCTTTATGTATAAAAGACATCAAAAAGTGCATTTTGCATGATAGGTCCCCTTTAAAGCATGTCACAGTGGAGGCACAAAATACAATTTGAAACCTGAATATGAGCTTCATCGAGGCTTCATTGCTTCAGAAAGACAAATAATTTATTGTGTGAGGTCATTTTTGGAGTTTGGGTACAGAGTATCACGTCCAAGCTGCATGCATCCTACTTCTGTAAAACAAATAACAGCAATGACACACAGCCTACAGTAAATGCAAACATTGGAGTCGGTCTGTCTGACTCATTTCTTCACCTTTCACACACTTTCTTTCTTTCTCTCTGCACACGAGATCCAGGAAGAGACTGGAAGTGTTCTCTTTCCTGTAATAATTTACCTTTATGGCCCCCTTTCTGTCTGAGGTGATTAGTAAGAGGACACTTCCCATGTGTGACACGTGTGGCGTTTATGGGAACGTCTCAGAGTGAGTGTGTGTCAGTTCTGAACATTACAACATGTGTCAGAGCCAGGGACGTGCACAGGTACGGGCTAATGTTGCCGGGCAACGGCCCGTTTGCCATTTTTGTCTGACCTGCCCCTCTGGAGAGAGTGAGAGATTTTTTTTCTTTTTTATTGTGGCCGAATCAACATGATAAGCCCACAATTAGTATTGTAGCGTCTCGCTGCGGGAAACACACCTTGTCAGCGCTGTCATCTGCCCCCAGTCACGTGACTTTGTTTACAATCTTAAGGCCGCTACACACCAACCTGAGACCAAAGAACGCGTACCGAAGGCGTCCCGACTTTTACGTCCGCTACGTCGGCTACGCCGCCCGCCTACGAATGCACCGCAAAGACTCCAGTCGACGAGTGGCAATAACTGTCCTTACCAGCAGGCAGCGGTAGTGCGTATTCGTCATTCAAAAGAGGCAACAGCCAATCAGAGTGATTTCTTTGGCCGACTTTCTTTGGCCGTTTCAACATGTTGAATCGGCCGCGGGAGGTGCAAAATGTGCCGTAAAGTAACGACGGTGCGGGACACACCAACCTGAGTAGGGCGCCGCGAATGCCCGACTGCCTCTGAGGGCCTCTGACTCCCAAGATCGGGTAGGTGTGTCAGGGCCTTGACAGCTGGAAGCAAAGGAAAGCCCTCCGGCCTCCTATGGCTATGGTGATCATACCATGTGCCTGCCTGGAGTATAGAGGACAAACCAGGGGACTTTACTTCCTCTTGACACCGTCGGTTATTTACAAAAAAAACACCCAAATATACTTGTTCTAATTGTGCTTCTGTCTTTCTGTGTCTTTTACTCGCTCGCTCTCTTTTCTTGATCGCCCTCTCACGGGAAAACACTTCCATGTCCCGCTTCATTGTAAGATTTCTGCCATGTCTCTACCACTTTAGTTTGACCATCTCTGTTACTAAGTTATGTAATACTAAATAAATAAGTAATTAGATACCTTACCGTTACTGCGCTGATGATGAATGATAAGAATAAGAATAATGCGTAATCCGCAAAACAAAAAATGTGCCTGAATAACGAATTTAGCGCCCTTTTTCCAGTTTAGAGCAATAGCCCCTCCAAATGTCTGTGCACGTCCCTGGTCAGAGGAGATTAGGACGAGAAGGACACACACATCCCAAATCCCTCGATGAAAGATTCAGGGAGGTCCCGTAAAACCGTATAAACAGAATGTTACAGTAACAGATCCTCAGGCAGATCATATCAATATAAAAGACTCAATTACAGATTTGTTACTCTACTCATAAAACTCACTTACGTCGCCATGTTTTTGTTCATTTGTATGTTTTTATTTAAGCATTCAGTTTAAATGTAGGTGTGTATATGTATGTGTGCATATATGTATATCAGTGTATGTATGTGTAATGTATATGTGTATATATGTCAATCAACAGGTAAAGCAGATTAATAATAAAAATAATACTAACAATGCATAAAAATGACAATTATTGCAGATTATAGATTATAAATAAATAATTTAGGGACAAGGGGGCGAGATTAAATAAATTATGCTTCTTCTCGCTCATTTTCGAACACTAGATGTGGCACTGTTTATGTTGTTAATGTTGTTGTTGTAAATTTAATTTTTTGTTTTGATTTCTCTTACATGACTATGCACTGCAACATTTGTTTTGTTTTGTAATTATTTATTTTACTCGTTCGAAATAAATGTATCAATCAATCAATTAATCAATACATCTGTAATCTGTTAATTCCTTCATGTTTAAAGACGAAATTATTGCATCTCTTGTCTTAAACATCGGCTTTCTTTGCAGATAGGTTTGGTAGGAAATGGAGGATTTTCCTTTAACTTGTCGACCATAATACTTCCAAAAATCAGTACGAAAAATACTTCAATAATGACTTTTTTCATTATATTATCTACGACGTCATACAAGCCAGGGATGTGTTAATTTCATTCTAGAGAGTGAGTTTTGCAAGCTGTAAATCTCTGCATGAACACATTCTTGTTTTATCTTTTTAGTTATTTGACCTTTCCTTGCAGTTGGGAACACAGTCACTTATCTTGGGACTTGGCACTTTTTCCTTTGTGTAAATCCCACATGACCTCAAAGGCTCTCTGCTGATAGTGAGGTTAACAAAGAGTAAGAGGCAAACAGAAACATGTTGAGGAACATGTTTAGAGGCCACAGAGATCACAGCATACAACAAGAAACATGCACACACTTCACATTCAAGTACAAACCAGGACCATGGCTGGATTTTTGACGTGTTTGAAAGTTAATTATGTTGTTTTAGCAAAGAGCACCATCTGCTGGACTGAATGCAATAACGCACTATCCCATATGTTTTGTTATATGAACAATAAAGTCACTTCGGTACAGATTTCCTCACAATCTATTACGAAATGCTCTCCTGAATAAACTATAAATATGGTGTGTTATTTAAGAGGAATGCTTTAGGATATGTTGCTGCACAATCTTCTTACAAGCTTTAAATTCATGAACCAAACTACTTACAATTGTGACAGTTTTCTTAAGATAAATTTGATTGTATTGTATTGATTTCAATTTTCAACATAATCTCTTTTCATATTTAAATTGTATTATATGTTTGGTAAATCTAATCTATATTACATACTGATATACACCTGAACATCAGCAGGAGAGGACTCTTTAAAGTAGAGACACTACATACTGATATACACCTAAACATCAGCAGGAGAGGACTCTTTAAAGTAGAGACACTATACTGATATGAACCTGAAAATAAGTACAATTTTAAAAGACACAGAATACACTTTTCGACATCCTAAACAAATGAAAATAACTTAGGTTTTAGAAAACATGCATTTTATTTCATAATTCATATTCACTGGTAATAAAAATTGCATTCCTTTCCACTCCAACATTACCGTTCATCGTTCTTAACATTCAACAGTTATATTTTCTTAATCCTTAATTTTATGTTTTTTTTTTTCTAAGGCAGTTCAGCCAATAACAGCCTTTTTTTAAGTTTATAAATACATACAAAATGGAAAAGTTCTGACTGTAAACAGCAAAAGTGCGACGTCGCAAGGCCTTAACGGTAACTTTGTCCTTTAAAATACTTTTTTATAGCGTATAAACTCAGCGGCCTCAATCATTGCCATCACATTATATCCAGAAATGTTTTTTACACTATTTTTTTGGGAGAATCTGGCTCTGAAGAAGAAACACAGATCAGGTTTTGTAAAAGAACGATACAGAAGAACAACAGACGAATATATAAACAGTCACAAGAAAAACAAAATCATTACATGGCTGATTACGTGGTTTGAGGTTAGACATTGAAGATGGATCATTTTTCTTAAAATAGGTATCCCTGATGTTTAATCAATTGTATCAGATTACCCTGGAAGTTAGGTTTAGCATGTTAAATTACACTCAAGTAGCTTAAAATGCTTCCACATTCACCAGCTCCCTAGGAAAAATACATAAGTGACATTATAAATATTGCAAACAGCACATTCACAACTCTTCCCAGTGCTCTTCAGAACAAAAGGAACACCAGTAAATCCTCTCGCGGCTACTTCTTCTTCTTCTTCTTTTTAAAGTGCTTTCACAGGGACGGGGAAGATCTGAAACCACAACGACTTCCTGCTTCAGTCTCGAGCTCATTATGGTTAGTAGATCAAAGACTGACCCGCCAAATCTGCCCTCCCTTCTTGTAGTCTTTCAGTGCGAGTGTTCAGCGACATGTGCACGACTCGGCCACCATGTCCTCCAGCTCCTTGTACTCCACAATCTTCTTCTCCACCACCAACACGCTAATGGGCATGTACTTAAAAGGCACGCAGGATAAAGGCGGTAAATCCCCCACGCCCTGGTCGTTGATGATGGTCTGGATGATGGCGTGTCTCGGGGACTGGAAGCCGTACGTCAGTAACCTTGGGCAGTTTCCCTGGCAGAAACGCGGGTTGTACACCGGCGGCGCGATATAGTTCCTCCAACCGAGCTCATCGAAGGACAGGCGGAACGAGTGCAGCTTGCAGTGGTTCTTCGGCATGCTGGTTTTACGTTTCTCGTTGGGGAAGTCGGCGGAGGACGAAGGGGCGTTGGAGAAAGACGAGGAGGACGTTTGGGAGTTCTTCAGGACATCCACTGACGTGTCTGAAGACGGGAGTTCTTTGGATCGTCGTTGGCGGATGAAAGAAGGATGAGAGTGATGCAGTCGCTTCATGACTTCTTCACCTTTTGCCTCAAACAGGTAATCCCTCACATCCCGCTCCTGCTCCAGGTACAAAAGAAGAGCCGGGACATCCAGCTGAAGCGCTCCTCGCCATCTTTTCCCCCCTCGAAGACTCAGCCACCACGACGAGTACCTGCCGTCTTCCTTCCAAGGCTCGGTGCACCAGTACCGGGCGGTGAGGGTGAGGTGACCCCCGGTGCCATTTTGTTTCCTCTGCTGCAGGTGAGCGGTGATGTCGGTTTCAGACCATCTTTCGTGGGGCTCCAGGGTCACAACGCTCTCTTTGCCCAGCGAGGTGATCTGAGCCCTGCAGCGCAGAGGCTCAGAGGCCCGGGGAGTGGAGGAGGAAGAGGAGGAGGAGGGAGAGGAGGGAGAGGAAGAGCGGAGGTGGATGAACGAGGCTCTGATCAGCTGCTCCGAGGGAAGAGTGTCGAGGTTGTACTGGACTGTGAATCTGTAGTGGTAATCTGAAGGAGAGAACGAAACAACATATGAGGACATCAGAGAGTCTACACATATTCAGTCTCACCTATTTAGACTGCATCTTTGCTAAAAAATAAATAAGAATCTCGGTACTTGTGGGTTATCTGTCGCCACTTTTTAATAGCGGGTAGCTGGCTCCGCCACATGAACTTTTTCATTTCTCAAAATAACAAAACATTAATCCTAGGGGTTAGGGTTATTTAGAGCAGTGGTTCCCAAACTGGGGGGCCTGCCACCCTTGGGGGGGCGCCAAAGATCGCATGGGGGGGCGCCAGGCCTAGGATGATTTGAGGCCAAATATCATATTCAGACTTTTTTTTTTTTTTTTTTTTTTTAAACATATAATTGAAAAGCAATACATGATTGTCACTAAAAGCCTTGTCTCTACATTACAATAAAATATAAAAAATAATTGTTTAATTAATTTTAATAAAAATTAAGTTAGTATTAAAGGTATAAAAAGAAAGAAATGTATAATTCTTTCTTTAATAGAAATGTTTCTTCTGCCTGTAAAGTGTCCAAACCAGGCTTTTCTGNAAAACAGAACACTCACCGCAGAACTAGTCAGGGAACAAGACGAACCGACCAAGACAGACAGACAACCCAGAACTTAAATACACACAAGACTCAATCACACAACAAGACACAGGTGAGGAGGGAGGAGAAAACACAGGGACCCAGGTGAACATAATCAGACAATTAGACACACCAGGGAAACTAATGACAAGACAATAACCCAAAGGCAAACATGACATGGAAAAAAGCAAAAACACCCAAACCTACAAAACTATAGACGTGACATAACATGAGAATCGTGACAGACATAAGCACAATCTTCCATTGCAGCTTAGCCTAACTGCAGCAGCAACAGAAAATATATCAGGGACCTACTTGTCAATATTGCTCCATAGCATACTAGTGCTTTAACAATCCACAGTGTACCTTCAATGGAGATTATATAAGAGTAGTATATAATAATTGAACATTTAAGCTGCTTGGCCCTGGACCTAAGAGTAACTGATAATCTTACCTTAACATCAACAGGGACATTGCTTATGTCATATATGGTGTTTATTGTCCTCTCGCCATCATATCCTTACATAATGCTTAGCCATGTCACTACATACATTTTCAACATGTTCTCCCACAGTTATTATTCGGGTCCATTCTGATTTCAACTGACTGAAAAAAACCTCAAAAGCCAAATCAGAGTAAGATGTATTAATAGAAATACCAAAATAGTGACAATGACGATGAATGTGGAGAAAAGATGTTCTTTTGCAGCAATCTGTTTCAGAAAATAGAAAGTGTTGAGCGAGGTAGTCTCTATTTATATCCCTCTGTCCCATTTACTGCCCATTCTGAATGTGAGCAGCACAAACTAATCCTTTTATTACACATGCAGCATGAAATAGCCTGCTACCGCTCGTGGAGCAAAAAGACGACTGGTTGGGGCAGAGGCGCGGGAAGGTATTTTGAGTGGGGGTGCTGGACTCCAGTGAACACTATTACGGGCACTATAGAGCACGCACAAAAAAACTCCCCACACGGAAACACACAGTAAACCCGCGACTGTTACAATGAAGGCTCGATAATCAGCTCACGGCATATAGGCAGGGGTAAAGTGCTATTTTTTACGAGTGGGGAGTGGACCTCACCTCCTCTAGGGGGGTCCGGGGGATGCTCCCCTGGGAAGATTTTTTTTAAATATTGAAGTTAAAAGCATCAATCTGGTGCACTTTGAGAGCAACATATGGATACATCTCTCAACACCCAGATGAAACACAACTGTAAGCAGATGTTCTTTTTCTTTATGGATATTTTACAAATCACTCCCCTTTCAAACTGTATTCTTGTTTTACTGCCATATAGTATTTCATAACTGTTTTTCCTTTATTCTCTTATTTTTTTTATAACTATAATGATCATATGAAGGTGTGCCGTGGAAATAATCTTTTGAATAATTTGTGACCAAACCGTTTGAGACCCACTGAGATAACTTCAACACAACAGTCACAGTATTACAGCCTTGGAGCAGATGTAGTGTATGTATATGTGTGGTCTATAAGAGATAAATACAAAGGTACAAATATAATTAGAATCTA